CGTACGAAGAAATTAGAAACGAGGAACAGTGAGAGAGAATCCAGGAAAAGAAAAGTTTGAAAAGTTTGAAAAGTTTGCGCGGAAATTGAAAAGAAGTAAGTTGTAATAAGTAAGTTGAGTAAATCTATGAATCTACGATATATAGCTACAGGCATCAACTGAAATAATTAACGATCACGCGAAGCGAACGGACAACAGTTGAGAATGTTGCTCCGATAATGTTCATCCTCGGCGGCAAAAGGGTTATTTCTGGTAGCATCCATGGTGAAAACCGGACGTGGCTATCGAGAAAGAATACGAACTGGGTCAATGACCCAGCCGCCGAAGAACCGCGACTGTTCGGTAGAGACCATGTCTGGGTCAGCATGGACCGCTAAATTAAGATTCGTTCATACCTATAGGAAGAAATCTTGAATTTCGAACGCACATCTGCCGATCGATTTTTCAACGCACCTTTATTGAAATGTGTAAATACATTCCGATATATTGTACTCTACCAGTACACGAATTACTCCGCGTATCGTATTATTTCAAGTTTTTAACATAATTCCAGTTTTCGCATTTGCCCGGCTTCTCTGATCCGTCTTCTCGCGCGTTTAAGTCGATCGTGTACAGGTATCGATGCATGTACGTACAAGCGGAGGTACGTCGTGCGTATACACGTACTTGTATTTATACTGGTTGACACACTGATTCGCATACTTGTGCGTACGTAACTAGAGTTCGAGAATAGAGGTACATACATACGTACAGGTCGATAGTCGATAGTTGTACGTGATTTTTGGGTTGAGAACTGAAGGGGAAAGGGAAAAGGGGGCTCGGAAAAGCGAAGCGCAAACCTATATAGTTGACCCGTGGAGCGGATCCCTTGCGAGTAAATCGAAGAGATACTTACCGTTGAGTTTGGTTGTATGGATCCCCACTACAGGGCGATAGTTTCGAATCCCTGCAGGGGGCCCGCATCCCCCACCAACGCAACTGGATACGAGTCCTCGTGGTTTTCGACCAACGAGACCAAGGAATACGAAGCCCGCCTTCGCACCCTCGCCGGAAGTATCCACCACCCTGAATATAAGAGCCACACTTCATCCCCACCAAGTCTCGCGGCCCGCCGCGTCTCGTCGCGTCGCGACTCGTCGTGTAACCCGTTCAACTGTCCACCGTCTTTCTCGGCTCTTTCCTCTCCATTACGTTCGTCCCTGCTTCTCTTTGTGCCGCGGCCCCACTACGTCCAGGGACTGCCGGGGGCAATTGGGAGGCATCCGGGGGACCATTTAGAGTCGCTGGGGGGCCGGTGCTCGATGAGTCACTATATAAGACGGGCAAGGACAAGAAGGTGTATGTTAGTACACACTCAATCTTTACGTAGCTCGTACGACTCACGACACAGCGAGCGCCGGCAAATTCGGCTGCGGCGGTGACCGACTTTTTTTCTTCCTTTCTTCTTTACTATTTCACTCACTCAACCTTCATCTCCGTCTCCGTCTCCGTCTCCGTCTCCGTCTCCGCCTCCGCCTCCGTGGTCGCCTTCCTCCTCATCTTCGTTTTTCCTCTTGCTCCACCTATTCTCCGATTCGACTTGTCTTGTTTCTACATTCAACATCGTTACCCACCGACTGATAATCAACCTATCGGATTACGCGTCAGTTCTGTCCCAGTTACTTGTCCATCCAATCGGATTCCCAACTGTTTATTTACTTTGTTCACCCAGTGCATTCCTTTACAAAAGTCTTCACCTTCGCCTTCTTCGGATCAAGAATTATTCTTTGCTTCTCTTCTCCAACTCTCGTTGTCCGTTGATTATTTCTTTGGCTCCGTACACGCCGCCATCTCGCATCGGAGAGACCGGTCTTGTTACTCCGAATCTTGCTGAAATCGTCAAATAACTGGATACGAACAATTTCGATGATCTTTTAACGAGTAACTGTAACTGTAACTGCGATTTCTTGTTTTTCTTTTCGCTTTCTCGCGGTATTACGATCTAAAAGCTCGATCGTCGTTGACACACCTGTAGTCACGAATCGCGGAAGCGTCGTGCCGAAAAGCGACTCGCACTCGTGTCCAAACGAATCCGAGTTAGGCAAAATCGGACGGAAGTGTCGTCCGTTTCCTCGGCAAGAGCTGAAATAACGTAAAGAACGGACCGAGAAAGGGAGCTTAGGAGGGAATCTCCGAGGAAACAGAGTGAATGGACGGAGAGAAGTGAAGAGACGGAGCTGGAGGAAATATAGGAATAGAAGAAGAGAGGAAAGGGGACACAGAAGCAAGAGTAACGAGTAATTGGAATCAGAGATGAGCGCTGGCCAAAATAGGTGGGACATTGGCATTCGACGCGCTCGATGATAGTCAGCCGAAAATCCGATGAATCGATAATCTCACCGAAGGAGAGCAGCTTGAAAATATTACAAATCAGAGAATTCGGCAACGTATCGAATCCAACATTTATTACGGCTGATTGACACGATGCTAGTAGAACACGCGGCTCTGTGGACTTGGCAAGCGATGGGTGGTACAAGAATCGAGGTACTCTGTACCTTTCTCGTGTTTGTCGGTGTACTATTGACGGCACGATGCTTACAATGGATTCAATACGTGCGTTCCTTACCACCAGGACCTTGGGGCGTACCTGTATTTGGTTATCTGCCATTTTTGAAAGGTGACGTTCATCTTCAATACGGTGAACTCGCGAAAAAGTACGGCCCTATGTTCAGTGCTCGTTTAGGAACGCAACTCGTAGTCGTCCTTAGCGATCATCGCACTATACGTGACACGTTTCGCCGAGAAGAATTTACTGGAAGACCGCATACAGAGTTCATCAACATTCTTGGTGGATACGGTAAGTGTGCAATGGACTATTAACCTTTCTTCGCGTTGCTAATCTTTTTCATAATTATCATTATCGAGACAATAGGGATTTCGCACCATTTCGCAGACCTCGCACTTTTGCCTTCTGTTGTGCGTTCAATACAGATACCGAAGGTTAAAACTGTGGCCTTTCTCTTTTTATCTCAACCTGTTTCTCTCTCTCCCCCCTACTCTCTCTCTCTCTTTCTCTCTCTCTCTCTCTCTGTTCGCCTCCTCCTTACACGCTTACGCGTTCTTTTAGTTTTCCCTACTTCCTGCTGCTTTTGCTTTTCCTATCTCAGATTTTCCGCATCGCCAACCTTTTTCGATTCCATAATTGTTTGTTCATCTGTAGCGGCGCTTAAAGGTTCAGCAGAATCTGGTTGCACGTTCCTTTTTTCAATTCGAAGAATGGTAGAATCCTATTTTTCTCTCGTAGGTATTATCAACACCGAGGGTGCTATGTGGAAAGAGCAAAGAAAATTTCTTCACGATAAGCTCAGGAGCTTCAGCATGACCTATGTGGGTGGTGGAAAGAAAATTATGGAATCGAGAATCATGGTGAGCGCATCCCTCGTCTTCTAAACCTTGTCTTCTAAACTCTTTTTCTCTCGTCGGTTTTCGGGTTCATTGCTATTACTTTACCAATTTCTACTTATCGATGTTCGGATAGTAACACGGAATCGTTTCAACTTGCAGCGCGAGGTTAAAACTTTACTTCGAGGTTTCGCGTTAAAACGAGGTGCACCGACGGATGTCTCGGCCTCTCTCGGAATGTCAGTCAGCAACGTAATCTGTTCGATTATAATGGGAGTACGTTTCCAACACGGCGACACTAGGTTCAGTAGATTCATGCACTTGATCGAGGAAGGCTTTAAACTGTTTGGGAGCATGGCGGCAGTCAATTTTATTCCTACGATGCGTTACCTACCTTGTCTGCAAAAGATACGGAACAAATTATCCGAAAATCGTGCGGAAATGGCAGACTTTTTCCAAGAGGCAGTCGATCAACACCGCGCGACTTTTCGCGAGGGCACCGTTCGGGACTTGGTCGACACGTACTTGCTCGAGATTGAAAAAGCAAAAGGAGAAGGTCGAGCGGCGATGCTCTTTCAAGGAAAAAATCACGGTGAGTGTTCTGGATGGAATGGATCTTGCTAACGCTTCGCGATTCCTATCTATTCTTCTCGTTTCCGAGCAGATCGACAAATGCAACAAATTCTTGGAGACTTGTTCTCTGCTGGTATGGAGACGGTGAAAAATACACTAGAGTGGGCGATCATTTTGATGCTGCATCATCCGGAAGCGGCAACTGCTGTACGGGAGGAATTGGATCAGGTGGTAGGCAGTTCTAGAATGCCTGCTTTGGAGGATCTGCCTTTCCTTCCAATCACAGAGGCGACGATACTCGAGGTGCTCCGAAGATCAAGCGTGGTACCATTAGGAACTACTCATGCAACTACTCGGTAACTATCTTGTTCTTCATATTTCCTTCGTACCATACATCTCATATGTTTGCTTAAACTATTGCAACGAATATTTCGCATGGGCGATCGATAACGAATTTTCGGCCCTCGTTGCTTGACGAATGTACGTAGCGATTATGTGCGAAAACTAAAAGCTAGTCTAAAACTAAAATTAGGTGGGAAAACTAAAAGAATTGGGAACTAGAAGAAGAAGAACAACAACAAGAACAAGAAGAGCAAGAGCAAGAGCAAGAGCAAGAGCAAGAACAAGAGCAAGAACAAGAGC